GGAGGGAGGGACGGAGGGAGAGACAGAGGGATAGAGGGACGAACGGATGGAGGGAGGGACGAAGGGAGGGAGGGACGAAGGGAGGGAGGGACGGAGGGACGGATGGACGGATGGACGAAGGGATGGAGGGAGGGAGGGAGGGAGGGAGGGAGGGACGGAGGGACGGAGGGACGGAGGGACGGAGGGATGGACGGAGGGATGGAAGGATGGAGGGACGGATGGAGGGACGGATGGAGGGACGGATGGATGGACAGATGGATGGACGGACAGATGGACGGACGAATGGACGGAGGGATGGACGGAGGGATGGACGGAGGGATGGACGGATGGATGGATGGATGGATGGTCCTGGTCATTCCCAAAGTGCAAATTCACAATGAAAGACAATGCCACCCAATTGCAAAAGAAATGAAAGCACTTGCAAAGAGATAAAAACCAAAGAAGAGAGAAAGAAGAAGAAGAAGAAGAAGAAGAAGACGAAGAAGAAGAAGAAGATGTACACCAGCAAGACCAATGACAAATCCCCCTTCTCTCTCCACCTTCCTCCTCCTCCTTCACTTCGCCAATCTTATTCTTCTTCCAATAATAGTAATAACAATGAGTGGATGAACCAGAATCAATATCCGAAGTTCCCTCTTACTGCTGACACAACAACAATAGGTCCACCATAGCTATCGCTTCCCCCCTTCTTCCACCTCTCACAAGCCTAGGCTATGGCGGACAACTGAGGGCTCTGCCCCTCCCTGTGCAAAGGACAACACAAAGCAGCTATGTCGCTGCACTCCTGTCCAAAGGACAACCCAAAGCAGCTATGCCGCTGCTGACTAAGCCGCCATGCCTGACTCTGCTGCGATCTTCCTTGGTGAGGCACTACCCCAATTGGGGCCTTCCAAATGCAGCGCCCAACAAGGTGATGAAGATGGTGTCCACCATAGCCAGGTAGGTACCTCGCCACTCTCCTCCTTCGCCCCCTTCCTTCTCCTCCTCGGGCTGGGCTGCTCGCCATAGCCAGGCTGAGCGCCCAACTGCCCTTCACCTCCAGGCAGCGCTGTACAAGTCCAACGCTTGGCTCAGCAGCATGTCACCAATCCTTGCATACTGCAAATGGGGAGGAGCTACTTGCTCCTCCGGAAGATATAGCGGCCTACTGGCTTCTTGGGTGGTGACATCCTAGGCCGAGCGGCCTCCCAGCAACCGGTACCTCCTCCCTTTCGGCTACTGGACAGGCCCTAGACTCAGGCTACTTGGATTGGTACCGGCCTACCTCTATCCTACCGCTACTGGACCTCTAAAAATGCAAACTTTTTGTCTTCTTTTGCTCAGCCTGCAGCACCTGACACTCCTACCACTACTTGAGTGGTACCGGCCTACCTGCTACTTGAGTGTTTTTCCCCGCTGCTCTAAGTGTTGCGGGCCTACCCCCGCTACTTCCCCGCTACTTCCCCGCTACTTCCCAGCTGCAACCCTCAAAGTCACGGCCACAGGTAAGTACCTGCCCTGTGGGGCCTTTCAACCAACAAGTACCCTTGCGGGTCACACACACACTCAACCGACAAGCACTCAGACAGGCATGCAAACCAGCAGGCACGCACACACACACAAACTTGGAAACCACAACAAAATGCGGGAATCTTAGCAAGGCATTCATTCCAGCGGCAAATCCCAGAAATCAGCAGTGTTCTTAGTCTGTGTTTCGGCGGGTCATTATACTACCCCCCTCTCAAGAGCGAGGTCCCTTCGAGCGAGTAACTCGTTCAAAGTCGACACAAAATGCGTCGTAGGCGTAGATTAGAAAGAGAGATTTAGTAAGACCGTAGAAGTGAGTTTTGCAGAAAACTTAGCAGTTTGTCCATCAGCGATCTGTCGTTCGTAAGCGTTAACAACACGTGGAACATTCTTTAGCATCTCTTTTCGATCGATCCAGAAAAACTCGTTTAACGGGCGACAGAGGAAGTGAACCTTGTACTGTCTGTTTTCAATCTTCCTTCATGGGAAACAATTTTGTCTATCTCATGGCGGTCGTGGATAGGACGAGGTATCATAGGATCTCGGAAGGGAAAAGTCTCGTTTGTACCAAAGTCATCCCCAATCACCTTAAGAACCTGCCAAGGGCCATAGTACAATGGAAGAAGCTTTCGTGATACGCCCTCGTCGTCAGAAGACTGAGACATTTTGACCCAGACATAAGTTCCTACTTCGAAGTTCCCTTCTTTGCGCGACTTGTTAGCATGTTTGATCATGGCATGCTGACGCTTGTTCATTGTCGCGATAGCATCTTTGAGCAGGTGTGAATACTTGGCATTGTAGCCAGGCATGCCGAGTGTCAGACCAGGGGACCGTTCGGGGAACAAATAGGAGAGAGGATTTCGCAGTTGCCAACCATATTGCAGTTGATTCGGTGTCACGCCAGTTGCAGAGTGAATGGAGTTGTTGTACAACCCCTTCACTTTGTGTAACACCTTGTCCCACGTGTTCTGATCTGGAACAATTAACGCGCGCAGTAATTGAATGACAGTCTGGT